CAGTCTCGAGTGGGATAGGACTTTATCAGCACAAATCCACTCCACATTGTTCTCAGCAGACTTGTCTCACTGGCTCCATGATTGCCCATTTCATTTCCTCCTCTCCAAACGATCTCCTCCATTTCACTCTCAGACCAATAATAAAAATCAATATTATGGAGTTGGTTTAACGCGTTTAGTCTGTCTGCGACAATTATGCTGTTGTGTGAATACAATATTTTAAGTAATCGTGGTTAACCTTTTATGTATAAGACATTTAAAGCAATAGTAAGGCATTATTCTGTATAGACAACTTTGAACTCAGTACACTCAACAGTAACCATATAAGAAGACTTAGTTTATCTGAAAAGTGTAATGTGCATATTTGCGGAACACATTTCGGACATTCTGATCACACACACACACAAGTACTTGTCTTACACAGTTTTATTGAAGGCAAGAAGGCGTGAATAATTACAATACGGGTCAGGTTGTGTACAGGTCAAGGTCACGAATGGTGAACAGGGAGATGACGCAAGGGTGTGTGTAAGAAAGACAAAAAAGAGAAAAAACAAAGCATGAAATGGGTTGAAAATATTTTGAAGTAAATTGGTCCCTGGTTCTAAATTCGATTACCAAGGCAGGTTTAAAGTAATAACAAATAACCTTTGAACACATAAGACAGACAGGTTTAAGTCTTTTTATGGCTAAGGCTTCAACGAATTTAAGTATGTGACTCGACCTTGTTTTATGTATGGGCTTAATGGCATTGTTGAAATCAATCTTATGACCCGCCTCTACAATGCGCTTTGCTATAGATGATGTTGAACTTCTATTTCCGGGGTCAATTGCGTATGGTGATTTTATTTGTTGTTGCAGCCAGACAAAGACTCAAAGTCTCAATGAATAGAACTTATAATTCACCTAAACTTATCTTCATGGAGAAAACGAGAACTATGCTGTCCCGTAAGCCCTCATATTATCCGAACAATAGTGTCACATCCCACTGTGTTTATCAACTTACATGTATGTGTAGAGACACGTATATAGGGAGAACCCACCGGTCTCTGCAGGTTAGGGCTACAGGACACATTCCAAAGTGGCTGGAACAACAAATAAAATCGCCAGACACAACTGAACCCGGAAATAGATGTCCAACGTCATCTATAGCGAAGCACATTATAGAGACGGGTCATAAGATTGATTTCAACAATGCCATTAAGCCCATCCATAAAACAAGGTTGGGTCACATACTTAAATTCATTGAAGCCTCAACCATAAAAAGACTTAAACCTGTCTGTCTTATGTGTCCAAAAGTTATTTTGTTATTACTTTAAACCTTCCTTGGTAATCCAATTTAGAACCAGGGACCAATATACTTCATAATATTTTCAACCCATTCCTTGCTTTGTTTTTTCTCTTTTTCTCTTTCTTACCCATACCTTTGCGTCTCCCTACCCACCATTTGTGACCTTGACCTGTACACAGTCTGACCTGTATTGTAATTATCCATGCCTTCTTGCCTTATATAAAAACTGTGTATGAGAAGTACGCGGGTGTGTGGTGAGAATGTCCGAAATGTGTTGCGCAAATATGGACATTACACGTTTCAGATAAACTACGTCTTCTTATTGTTTTGCCGAAATTCATAAAGGTAACTAATTGCTTTAAATTACCATAACACTGTTCGAATTACATATTACCTAACTCTCGTTGGCTCAATAGCCTAGTAAATAACGTTTTGGTACTTGAAACTGCTGTGTTTGTATCACTTAAGAATGTTCACCACTTACCGAAGTTGCCGGTACACTCGCGTGATGAGTCTGAACTAGAATGAAATTTGCATCCTCTGTTTCACTTCTAGTCGCGACCAACCAAATAATATTCTGTTTTACTGAATAGTTCATGCGGAAACTCAGGAAGACATTCGAAGTGCATACAGGAGTGAGACAAGCCTGCCTGCCTATTATCACCAACGATGATATTCCCAGTTGTGGTGGACTGACTGAATTATGCGCCAGGCTGTGTGGGAAGTGAGGAGGCAGGAATACGCTAGACCACCGATAAGAAGACTCTAGAAGGTCTGGTCTGATGTCACACAAACTCGAAAAATTACATGGGAAAACCAACAAACTGCCGGAAGAGGCGTGCAGCAAAGACAGGACTACAGGTGAACATAGAGAAGGTGGAGACGGCGTGGATGAAGATAACCAACCAGCAGCAACAACAAAAAAACAGCAACAACCAATCACCATCAGTGGGAGAGATTTGACGGAAGTTGCTTCCTTCTCTTACCTAGGAAGCATCGTTTCAACTACAGGCTATCGGAACCGATGAAGATGTTAAAGCTGGCTAGCCAAAATCGAAAAGGCGAGATACGCCTTTATCAGTCTGAAACCAATTTGGAAATATTCTGCACTGACCCAGCCAGCATAAAGAAAAAGATTCGGGTTTCCAAATAAAATGTGAAACCAGTCAGTCAGAAACTTGCACTGCGTGGCACGAAGAGGATTTCCAAGAGATAGGAGGCTTTTATCAGAATCTGCCACCTTCGCTGGCTCCATACTGAAGATCAAATTGCCAAAAGAATTAGAAACAAGAAACTCTGCCTGGAAGCAATCCAAGTAAGAGCCGATTGCTCAACATATATGTAGGAGAAAATGCAGATGGATTCGGCATACATTGAGCACGCTATTGAATGACATCGCGCACAATGCAGGCAATTGCTTGAGTAGAACTCGAATAGGAAGCGACACGGGAGTCGTCAATGTGAGGGTGACATGGAGGATATCGTGTGTTGGGTAGGCGGAGATGAGAGATTATGGACAGTCGTGGAGCTAGCCAGCTGAAGAGAAGAGAACAGCATCAAATAAAAGAAGTTGGAGATGTTTTGTTGAAGCCCCACATGTTCCCCTCGGAACCCAAGGGAATTACAATAAATAGAATCTTATATCTCTCTAAAATGAACCACAATTTTCAACAGATTCGTATGCCTTAGTTTAATGACTACATTACACCTAGGGTGTACATATTCACATCAATAAATGTGGGATAGAAGTTAAAACTATTCGTGAGATTCCATCCAGGTGGATGCATCGTCAGTGGTCTCGCCTTATAACAGTGGGTCATGAGTTCAATCGTTGGCTCCTTGGTAATAGGTGCTTTCCATGAGTGAACGAAATAGCTGTCCAGTACCCAATAGTTTTCAATAGTATTCTAACTGATAGCATTTATTGATATCACGTGCGCGCAATGCAGGCCATCACTCGTGTGGAATTAGAATGGAAAGCGACGAGTGTGTTATCAGTGTGAAGGTAATATGGATAAGATCGTGTGCTGGGTAGGCGGAGATGAGAGATCATGGAGAATCGTGGAGGTAGCCAGCTTTAGAGGACAGTGTCAAATTGAAGAAAGTGGAGATGTGTTGTTCAAGCCCTATATGTTCCACTTAGAGTTCAAGGGAATAATAATATTAATCGTGTAAATAAGTCACCGTAATGAGGTTAATGAAATCTACCGAAGGCTGTCAGAAATAACAGCTCAAAACAGTGGAACAACATATAGTCACATTTTTTAAATGTCTTCCGTTTCAAATGTTTTCATCGCATGAGTTCTGAGTGAAATATACGGCTTCAACCCATATATTATTATTATTGTTCCCTTGGATTCCTAGTGGAACATAGGGCTTCAACTGCACGCCTCCACTTGCTTCTGTCTTCTGCTGTACTTTTCACTTGCATCCATGTTAGTCCACACTGTTTCAACTTCCCTTCACACAATCTCCTCCATGTTACCCTTGGACGTCCCACTCGCCGCTTCCCTTTCGGGTTCCACTCGAGCGTTGGCCTGACGCGCGATGTCACCCAGCGGCCTCGTCAGCGAGTGTCCAATCCATCTCCACTTTCTCCTGCATATTTGTTGAGCGATTGGTTCTTGTTTTGTTTCTTCCCATAGTTCCTAGTTGATGATTCTTTCCGGCCATCTGATCTTCAGTATAGAGTGAAGACATTTGTTGATAAAGGTCTGCAACAGGCTGTTGGAAATATTCTTTGTGACCCGCCAACTTTCTGATCTGTATAGACGTTTGTATTGAAAATCCGAATTTTGTTGTTGATGGTGAGTGACGAAGATTTCCAGATTGGTTTCAGGTTGATGAATGTGTTTCTCGCCTTCCCGATTCTCGATTTGACGTCCTCGTCCGTTCCTCCTGTAGTTGAGACAATGCTCCCTAGATAAGTGAATGAATTAACCTCTTTCAAATCCCTTCCGTTGATGGTGATTGACGCTGGATGTTGCTGCTGTTGTTATTGTTGTTGGTTGTTTATTTTCATAACCTCCGTCTTGTCTATGTTCACCTGGAGTCCTGTCTTCACTGGCTGCTTCTTCGACCAGTTTGTTGATTTTCGCTTGTAAGTCTTCGATTTTGTGTGACATCAAACATAAATCATCCACGCGCGAAATCCAGGTCTTCTAGGTTCTTCACGTCGGTCAGTCCAGGACATCCCTGTCTTCTCGTTTCCCACTCTCTGACGCATGATCCAGTCCACCACAACCAGGAATATCATAGGTAATAATAAGCATCCTTGTCTGACTTCTGTGTTTACTCCAAACCCGTAAGCTTTGAATTTTTAGTAACAGTGTTTTTATTGTTACGCAGTGGGGTCACCAAACCAACCTCCTATCTTCTCTGAGCTTGTTACCGATGGGTGAGGCCTGCAAGTGCATCGGCAGAGAATCAGGCCTCAACCTCCTGAGTGTTTAATGAGCATTCTACAACTGAACCGCCGACACACCCTCGTTCAGACTATGCACGCTGATTTATATGAGGAAAATAAGTTATGAAACAGTCAGTTTCATTTTATGGAAGCGATCCAGTTGAACTTGGCGTGTGTGTGTGCGTGTGTGTCTGTAAACGACACCAAACTACACAATAACAGTTAAATCGTGTCATCTCCTCACATTTTCTATTTCATTGGTGCACAATACTAATTTTCGCGCGCTATACTCTCTTTCTTTTTCAGTCTCCCTATAGACTTTTTCAAAGAAACACAGCTGAATTATCCCCTACAAGAAGATCACTTACTGACAATCTGCTTGATGATAATTCAGAAAATTCAAAAAAATCCTGGAAATGGTGGAGGACAAATAAAGATCGTGGTGGACTGTTGAACAGTGGTGTACGTAGAAGACAATCGATAGGTATGATTGCTGAACAATACTTCCGCTATTTTACAAATGATAAAAGTGAACACTCGCGTGGAGGTAGTCTACCGCCTAGAGATAATAACACGAATAACGGCAATAACAGTAGTACCTGTAAAAATGAAACAAAACAATTGACACCATCAGTAAAGCTGGATGTAAATAAGAGACAATCCCTTCATCTAGAGGAATTCCTACAATTTTTAAGTGCTCATCAACAGAATAATAGTAATAATAATATGGAATCAAGTCATTTGGGGACGTATCCACCACCTCATAATGCTTGTCATCTCTATCAACATCATCACTATCACCACCATCACCATGAACCACAGCAACGACAGTTCCAGCCACAAGTTGACAGAAGTTTATCTCAACCAGAAGCATATGTGTTAGCACCAAAGTGTATCTGTTCAAATGAATTACAACAAGTCACTTGTAATAATCATCAGAGACAGCAACATTTCACTGGATTTCGAACAAATGAAGTAAGTGAAGGTTGTATTTTTATTATTTTTTTGGTTGTATATCTCCGTTTACTTGAACTTTTAATAAGGCTTCTTCAGCAAAATAGAGTCTTCGATTGTTGGTATTAGATGGTTGGAGGCAATCGGTAGGAAGCCTTGGACCTAGGTTTCGTGCTAGTTGGCACTCATCAGCAAGGCGTATCTTCAACCTTCGATTTCCCGCTGACATACTGCTAAACCTTGCGTAGCTGGCAGTAAGCCTGGGAAAGAGGGAAGGTTGAGCGTAAGGCCAGCAGTTCAAGCTATTCGAACTCATACCACTGTGCCACTCAAAACTTCACACTTCATGGGGCTAGCGAGCTTAATAGGACGGTAGTAAAAAATAGAAGAAAGTGGAGATGTGTTGTTGAAGCCCCCTATATGTTCCACTTGGAACCGAGGGGCATAATAATACTAACCATTCATTAGCCATTGGTCGAAGGTTAGACAACGAGCTGATAAGAAAGTTATGAAATGAATTCCAAGGTCAACCGGTTAGGTTATCACACCCCCGTATGATGAACCCTACAATCACTGGCCTAAAATACTGATGACCGATTTAACCGCTTCAGTATTCTGAATGATTTTCAAGTACTGGTTTTGTAGGGATTTCGTTTGATTGCATGGAGGATTTCATCATGAGCTGACATCAGTTAGAGAACCACTGGAAAACCTGGGAGTACTGGACAGCTGTTTCGTCCTAGTTTGGGACTCTTTCAGTGGTACGCACCCACCGGGATTCGAACCCGGGGCCTTCTGGTTACAAGGCGAGCTCGTAGACCATTGAGCCTCTAGGACCTGATCTAATGGCCAGCCCGTGAATTCTAATTTCTGCCAATTCACGACATAGCGCAACCATTTCGCAATGTCTTCTTCGATGAGTTACTGCCTCATCTTCAACCTGCTGTACCCTACTGGTCACGGCTTTCCACTGGAACCCCAGGTTAACTGCCTGAATAGGGCCAGTCACAAGCGAGCATAAGATTAATTTTCAAGTATTCGATTTATAGGGATTTTGTTTGATTGCATGGAGGATTTCATCATGAGTTGACATCAGTTAGAGAACCACTGGAAAACCTGGGAGTACTGGACAGCTGTTTCGTCCTAGTTTGGGACTCTTCATCAGTACGCATAGGATTGGGTCCCAGTGGCTCAACGGTCTACGAGCTCGCCTTGTAACCAGAAGGCCCTGGGTTCGAATCCCAGTGGGTGCGTACAGATGAAGAGTCCCAAACTTGGACAACGGAAACAGCTGTCCAGTACTCCCAGGTTTTCCAGTGGTTCTCCAACTGATGTTAGCTCATGATGAAATCTTCCATGTATTCTGAATGAATTCAAAAACATCGAACAAGGCGCATTAAGGCTCACAACAAAATTACACGACACTGAATTAGCTATATTATTATTATTACTATTATTATGGATTCCTTGTGTTCCATTAGCTTCCTTGGTATCAAATTTTAACTACCTCCACAACTCTTCACAAGCTTTCACTTCCACCTCGTCACATGATCTCCTCCATGTTATCGTCGAACACGAACTCAATTTATCACTCTCAATTCCATTTCAACTTGAAGGCCTGATGTGTGAAGTCACATGAATGTTTTCTCATATGTGTCCGATTCATCTCTACCTCCCTGTTGCTGACTAGCCTTCTGATTTTAAGTATGCCACAAAGAGGTCAAGTCTTGATGACAGTCCATCTCAGGCTGATGCAAAATGCGTTTTCTGAAGTACATGCAAAGTAATTGAATTATATGTAAGCACGAATGTCAAGGAACTTAGCCTTAAGTTCCTATTTTTATATTTGCGATGACGCTTTGAATCGACAACTACTAAGTATGATTATCGATTTGAACTCCGAAACACACAAGTACTTGTAATAAGGAAATATAATAATAATTTGCTTTATCCCACAAAGAGTACATGTGATACAGAATGGAATTCTCAGCATTTTATTTTACTACAGTATTGCATCCAGTTAGTACATTATCAATAAATAGAATTCTACATAGATTAAGGAAATCTCAGTTCATCATGACAACAACATATTGGCATGTCGGTAGCAAAGCCAAAGCTGAACAGTGTTTGAAGGTGTTAGAAAAGTAGGTGATATCATATTTACTGGCGTAAGCGGAAGAAAGAAACGAAGCAGCACATAACGGAAAAAAAGAGAGAGAAAAGGAAAAGAAAGGAAGAAAATGTTGTACCTATAAATGGTATGAGTTGGAAAGACGAGGTCCAGTTGTACTACTGTCTATTTAATGAATTATAGGTGTCACGCCTAATGCTTTCTTTATCTCACAGAACACGAGCTAAGTAGGGTATGGTTGAGTTTTTGTACTTGCTAGTGCGAGCATATAGTTTTCTATATAGGCTTCTGGTTTCGCCTGATGAGATGCAAGGGGAGACTTGCGAGTGAAGAGGGTGCTGTGAGTTAGATAAAATGGATTTGACCCATTTTTTCACATGAGTCCATGTGCCTGTCAACCAGAATATTAACAAGCTGCTTAAGTGGCACGTTGCTTAGCCTGCTGACAACCTTTAACATCCTGCGTAATAAGGTATAGTCTTTCTTCAGTAGCCCTGGAAAAACTAAGGGGGAACAATAGAGAATAATAGACTTGTAATAAGACAAAATATATTTTTCAGCAGTTAAATTCGATATTTCATACAGAGTTTTCATTTGGTATTCGTTCGTCTTCTTCCAGCTTGTACACGACTGAATTATTCGCACCTTCGAGTTGCCCGCCAAAGGCAGGCGACCAAGGTCAATGAAACAACGTTCAATGTTCACATTCCTTTACAACGAACTTGACTAACAATAGTATTGAAAAGAACTCAGTTATCTTCCTTGTGTTAAATGTAGCGTATTGATCCTCATGGAGATTTCCAATTCATAAACTTCTGTCTTACTTCCAAGATTATGGCTGCCTTTGCAATCCTCATCTATGCTGCCTACTGCCAAAACTTACCATATTATATCGACAAAAAATAGGTTTAAAAATACGCCAATATGTCTGTTAGTCCAAACAGCTGACATCGTAGGAAAAAACACCCAGGCTGCAGAACTCCGCCTTCCTTTGAAGTCTACATCTAGTCTTAGTGTTTTGATGATTATATATATCTATATATAATACAAACATCGCACCACCTGTCAATAATATTTCAGAATCCGTCTAAGAGTAAGAACTACATCTGTTCAACTAGTTCAACTAGTTATGTATTCGTAGCTTTCAAAAACAAAATTTATTTCAGCAAACTGAAAAGCACCAAAAAATTTTTCTAGACATATAAACAAGAAACCATCTGTTAGTCTAATTACATAACACACATATGTATATAATTAAACGAGTTCGAGTTTCTTCTAGAGTTCCCTTATTAGGCGACATATTATTCGTGCAAAAAGGCTTTCCTCCTGCACTACTTGCTGGTAGGCTTTATATATGTATATACACACACGAATAAGAAAACTTGTTTTTCTTAGTTTTCATATAAGACGCCATTGGTTGCATCACTCGCTCCTACGATTAGAAGAACTAGCATAAAGTGACAATAGTTTCCTTCCAATAAACACATTTAGAAGACTATTGATAATATAAGTCTAAATCTTGGGCACTGTGGTGGTAGAGTATAACTCTGTTATAGATATATAAGATTTTATTTTGATAAAGTCTCACAGTGTAGTGTTGTACAGTAATATTAACTGATGACCATCTTTCTAGAACAAACTATTGCCATTCATAATCATATCAAGACACTGCTCACACACCTTTCTTGCTTCATTTATATACATGAGTGGAATTGATGATTAGACATTTGATTGAATAAAATCAATATAAGATAATGTACATTCAGAAATAATAATATGAGTGTCATGAGTCAAATACAATCAGATGGGAAATAAGACGAGTGTTTCTGTAGTCAAAATTAGTAACTTGTTAGAATGTTGTGATGTATGTGAATTGAATTGAAATAGAATCTTAAGATAATTTATTATCCTCTTCTTATTCGACTGACTGGTGGCAATAATATCTTCCATATCTCTGGTATTTGCATTGATGAGTCGCTTCTATTGCGCATGTGTTGGGTGTAGACTCGATGAACCAGGATTCAGTGATCAATCTCTCTCTCCACCTACCTACATTACTTCTTAGAATTTTAACCCTCTCCCACCCTATTATGTGGTTGTGTGTTATTGCGTGAAGTGCATTTGCTGAGCTTTTTTCTAAATTACTCATCTGTCTTCGTGGGATCAATCATTCTTACATTAACTAAATTCTTATGTTCCAACAATCTGACTACCGGCGACCTTCTAGTTCGACCTATGTAGTTGACTTAACTCACAGTCATTCCAAGGTGGTACAGAGTCAAAGTTCTAAAAAGTAATCTAGGTAGGTGGAGAGAGAGATTGATTACTGAATACTGGTTCATTGAGTCTACACATCCAACACATGCGCAACAGAAATGACTCAATGCAAATATACCAGAGATATGGAAGATATTATTACCACCAGTCACTCAAATCAGAGGAGGATAATAAATAATCTTAAAATTCTATTTCAATTCAATTCACGTACGTCATAACATTCTAACAAGTTACTTATTTATTTTGACTATAAAAACACTCGTCTTATTTCCCATCTGATTGTATTTGATTGATAACACTCATATTATTATTTCTGAATGTACTCTATCCTATATATTATTTACTACCCCGTTGTTTAAAGTGATTCCCTTGCTGATGTTATTTCTTGATCTAACTCTGAAGCAATTAAATTCTTGTCACCCCAGGATGCGATTTATACTTTAATATAGAAAAAAACCCATTTAGATATTCAGAAAGCAAAACTAGTGAGTAGCGAAGAATTATTTACTTTTCAATTAGATCTTCATCTCACTCTGGCTCTACTCTAATATACACGTGCAGCAGTTTTATTACAATACACAACAATTTACCAATCAAGTGGCACTGATATCTTTGTTAACAATAATTAGTCAGTGTCAACATGTCAATGGGGTGATAATTAACGAAGAAAATTAATACAGGACTTCATCATGAGTTGACATTGGTTAGGGAACCATTGGATAACCGCCTGGAAGTACTGGACATCCTCTTCGTCCTCCTAGTTTGGGACTCTTCATTAGCACGCAACCAACGGGGCTCGAACCCGGGACCTAATGGTTACAAGGCGAGTTCGTAGACCATTGAACCACTGGGACCCTATTCAATGGCCTATGAATTCTGACTTTCTGGCAATTCACAACATAGCGCGACTGGCACCAGCCAATGTCATTGGTGGCGAGTATTTGTCCTCACACCCAACCTGATGTACTTCACTGGTTATGACTTCCCATTAGAACCCCAGGTAACTACCTACCTGAACAGGGCCAGTTACCAGTGAGCATCTCATTGAATATTGAAATAGTGGTTTGTAGGGATTCAGTTGATTGGTTACAGGATTTCATCATGAATTGACATTGGTCAGAGAAACAGTACTCCCAAGTTTTCCAATGGTTCTCTAATCAATGTCATCTCATGATGAAATCCTGTAACCAATCAATCAAATCCCTACAAACCAATACTTTAAAATTAATACACACAAATAAAAGGCTGATTATGTAACAGATTGTTAAAGAAAATAAAACGAGTTGGACAATGATAACTTGTAATTAAAGATGAAGTAGTCAGAAATATTATAAAATAATTTGGAAAATTATAATTTTTAAAGGTTTTTGGCGAAAGGGAAGGCGAAGTAGTCCGGTTTATACATTCATTTAACCGATGGCCAAGGTAAGGAAAGTAGCTGTAGAAATTTCTTGTGAACACACAAGTTTGGCTTCTTCAGGTGGATCCCTATTGCTTCAGCTTTATGTAGAAGACGAACTCGTAGAGCAAAATTAAAATTAGTAGGAATGCGATAAATAATTTTAAATGCAGTATTAACGTCAACCTTACGCTCACTATCTACAAGGTGTGCTACAATAGATCTACAAATAGATCTTGTTTGTCGCCTGCTTAAACATATGCCGGATGATGTTCGGAAATACGACGATGAACCTGCCTAATTGTAAGCTCGATGTATCTGGCTCCGCGGCTGCAGTCAAACTGCTAGATACACATAGAGGAGGCAAATTTATGTAGTTTATCTTTATTTCTCGAACGTAAAATACGGGGTGGTAGTGAAGAGACAACGTACCTCTGCTGCATTGAAAGCCCTTTTGAGTGCATTCTTCAGGTGCTCGCTGTGCTATTATTTCGCTGATGTTGTCACAATGAACAATGATTTTAATGGAGCTGTTGCTATACTCACTGTCGTTGGTGCTAAATTCATATTTTTCCCAATGAACTTATCTGGATAACCATTTTTACTAAGTAATTCTCTGATAATCTTAACTTTCTCATTGAGGCAGTTATCTGAACAGATTAATCTAGCTCTATGAACCAGACACTTTACCAGGTTACGTTTATATTTCAAAGGTACAAAACTCAAAAAATGAGTGTACTGACCTGTTGTTGTAGGTTTCCTATGCACACTCCTTCTTAGTGTGCCATCTTCTTTCCTTGCCAAGAAGACGTCTGGGAGTGAGATACTGTCATTACTTTCTTTCTCTATGGTGAAGTTTATTGCCGAATGCGTATCATTCAACTTGTCCAGGGTTTTCATTGCTTCATTCTCATTTTTCATAACGAGAAATGTTAATTTGATGGTAGAATCGTTACAGTTTTAAAGAGAACCGTAGTTAAAATAGGCTTCTTGTTATAGTTAACATTGATCAACCAAAATATGACGTCATAATTAGTTTCTGTCTGCTTTCTGTTTTAGCCTTTGTTTTACAGTAGTCAAAGGAATCCAAATATCACCACTGCCTACAATGGACATAAAAAAATATATGATTCATGTCATCATATCCAAAGGAATCCTAACAACACTAAAAGACAATCTACGCATATCAATGGAGCGTTAAACAATCAAAATACACTTTACGGATCACCCTCTTCGTCAGCGTACACATCACAAGTGAAATTAATGCCAGGGATGCACTTATATTCTCTTCAAAAGAACAATTCATCACTGGGTACAACAGGATCAGTCTGTCCTGGATCTTTTATTGTTTGTACTGTTCCCCCTGGTACCACAACTCCTTTCCCTGTTCCTCCTACGCATATCCAATCTATTCAGCCTACCTCGTCATCAACACCTGCACCACCTATACCTCCAAGAATTCATGGTCGAACATCTATCATGTTAAATCATAGTTCTAAATCAATGGAAGAAAGTGTTTTATCTAAGACAATTGATGAATCGAACATGAAAATCGATAAAAGCCAAGTGAACACTACTCAGCATATCATCATTAGTGAAATGGATAAATCCGTTAACCCTATTAATAATATATGTATACCAGTGACAAGAAAAACAGGGACAACTGTCAATTTGGTGCCTTACAGTTCACGATGGCCCACTGGTTGTGGTGGTGGTGGCGCTGGCGCTGGCGGTGAGAAACATGCCTATTTTAATTGTATGGCTAGCCGACAACACAACATCAAGTCAAACTTTCCAAGTAATTGTGCGTTTAAAGTAAGTTTGACTATCTTGTATGTTACCGAATTGTTTGTGTGACATGGGCTGGAAACAGTCGACTTTGTTTGGTTTGGTTTTTTAGCTCAAGGAATTTGCTACTATTGACTTGAATTGTATTTAAGACAGACAAGTTACTGTTTGGTAAAGGAATGTTTAGTCGGCCTGACCAGGGTTTTAATAACCTTATGGTGAGACAATTTCCCAGTGATTGTTTTGACTCTTTTTATCCGTTGGCAGAGGAAGCATAGAAGATAGGACTTCCCTTTAGGTGAACATAGAGAAAACAGAGGTAGGTGATGAAGATTCCTCGCCAACAGCAACAGCAACAACAACAGACAACAATCAGAAGCAACCTCCTTCCCCTACCTATCAACCTACTTACCTACCTGGGAAGCATCTTCTCAGCTACAGGCGGACGGAATTGATGAGGTTACCAAAGCGGCGAGGATCGGGAAAGCAAGGTGCGCTTTCACTACGCTCAAGTTTGTATGGAGGAGATCAACAGCATTACTAATCGTGAAAAATAGAATCCTGATCTTCAACTTCACTGTGAAGTCAGTGTTACTTACCTACACGAACCAGAGACTTGGCGCCACGCCGAGTCAAGAAGGACACTTCGAACAAACTGCACACTTTCATGAACAGCTGTCTTCTCTCCATACTGAAGATCGGATCGCGAGAAAAGATCAGCAACAGTGAGGGATCTCTGGCAATAAACGAACCAATCAAGCATGAACCGACTGTGCAACAAATATGCAGGAAGAAATGGAGGTAGGTGGATTGGAAAACATACAAACCGTCAAGCGAGTGACATCACACGCGGGGTCGTCGCTCGAGTGGAACCCGAAGTGGAAGCGGCGAGCTGGTCGTCAGTGCGAGGGTGACATGGAGTGGATAAAGTCATGTGAAGAGGAGATGAAAGCATGTGGGCAGACGTGGAGCCAGATGGAAACGTTATCACAGAGCCGAACGCAATAGAGGCTTGCAGCTGAAGTCCTATATTCCTCTAGGAATTAAAAGAAACAATAAAAGAATAATAATAATAGAATAAGAGACTGGACAGACTTTTTATGTATAGAGAGTTCGGGGTTGTATTGACGAATTGCCAGTGCCTCCGCTCGAAACCTGCACTCTTTATACAGAAAAAGATTGTCCAGTCTCTTATTCTGCCTTAATCTTAATCTCTTCACTAGTCATTCCCTGTAAAAAAAATTGAATTTTTCTTTTCTTTTTTCAATTTTTTATTTTACTTTTAGTTTGCTTTTACTTTCATAATTAACTCACTATATTATCACTCTTATGTGCTCCTTTTGCACATTTCACACCCTCTTAACACTTGTTACATTGATACTCAACTACCACCTTTATTCTAACTCATTAGCAATTTTGACCTGATCAAATTTCTAACTTTGTGCCATTGAGTACCACGTAATTTACAACTTTTATTTTTTACTTCCAAAGCTGCTTCCGAGTAATTATACCAATTATGTCAACCCACTTGTATTACTCAATAATAGACTACTATACATTTTTGGTAAATCTAAATACCGCTGTGCAACCTCTAAAGATGATCTCGTCGGTAAAGAAGATTTTCTTCGCTGAATTTGTCTTTTATTTTCTTCATGACTCAATAGGTATTTTCGGTGATTTCTTATATTCATCAGTTGAGTGTTTCATTTTCTTGACTTCTGCTTTCCAATAAATGTGACTATAGAGGCAGTCAGAAACGAACTCATTTCTGACTAAGAGCTCAAACTTAGGACAAAAGTGCTACTTGATGGCATAATTCTGGAAATGCAGCTATGTCTGACTTCCACAGATTTAAATTCCAGGGGAAAATACACATACAAACTGAAGGAGTTGTCATAGGGTCGGCAATATCCCCGGTAGTGACAGATATATTCATGGATAGGTGGGAAAGCTTAGTGACTGAATTGTTAAGCCGCACCCTAAAAGTATGGTGGAGATATGTAGATGACACATTCATTGTACTTAGAACACAGGATTTGGATAGAATTTTCGAACACATTAACTCAAAGGTGGAGGCAATCCAATTCACTTATGAATTAGAAAATCAGGAAGAGGAACTTCCTATGTTAGCTTTTAACATAAAAATGAAGAAGATGGGAAGTTAAACACACTAGTGTGTTTACGGGAAACCCACACATTCAAACAGATATTTGGACTTCCGATCATCCCATCCTATGTCAGTGAAAATAGGATTGATGAAATGTTTAAGTAATTGGGAGCAAAAGCTATGATATACCAAGGAAAATCTAGTACAGAAAGTGAGGCATATAAGAGAAGCTTTGAAACTTAATAATTACCCTGATAAATTATTCCGAAAGTATGTAGGAAAATGTAAAAATAAAATAAATAGTGATAGTAGTGATAGTGGTAATAATAACATCATCAGTGATGACATTCATGCCTAATATGCTCAGGATAATGACAACACCAACAATAAGGAATCTAAATCATCAGTACTAATTCCATACAATAAAGAAAGCTCGGAAATCTTACACAGAATTCTTAACAAGGCAGGAATAAAAGTGGCTGGCATTGAAACCAACCACAAACTCAATTAGAAACAAGTTTTGTCGGTTAAAGGATCAATCCTGTGTAGCCAATTAAACAAAACAATTTAGTTTATCTAATTCCCTGCTGCTGGAATGATTGTCAGGTCAAATACATAGGTCAAAGTAGTAGAACAGGGTCAGTCAGTCAGACTAGCCGAGCACAAAATCTTAGCAGCAAAATCTAGATTGGATGACCTGAATACGATAAGAGATCTAGAGAATGGTTCAGCTATAGCACTCACCACATGCAATTACACACAACCAGCTATACAATAAGATGGATGGGATAAGATGACAGTTTCAAAATCTAATACAACTAATATGGTGAAGGGAGAGATTGATAACAGAAGCTTTGTTTATCGAATCAACTGAGAGTGAATACATGTAATAGAAATGATTCAACACCTGTCCACCCAGACATCTGGAAAATTCTACTACCCCTAACGACAAATAGGAGAGAACAAAGGAAACTATAAAACTCATGTTTCGAAGTCGTGTGTGATTATAATTGATGACATGATTATGAACAATAGTAAATTGTGTTCGAAACTTTGTAATCCAGTAAATAATAATACCGTCTCACTGACTGTGTGATACACCTAATAAACAAACTAATATGAAATTACTTACTACCACAATGAAGTGCCCCAATGGCGATAAATGAGAGAGAACAAAGAAAGGTATAAAAGTCAAGTTTCGAAGTCATGTGATTATAAGTGATGAAATGATTATGAACAATAAATTTTTTTAAAACGTCATCCAGTGGATAATACTGTCTCACTGACTGTGTGACACATCTCATAGACATGCTAATATGCAATTACTTACTACCACAGTGCCCAAGTTTTACACACATATATTCTTCTTTTCCACACTTCAAAAAGTGGATCTCTTAGAATATCCACTCTTTCTATGAGAACTTTCAGAAATATATAATACTTATTCCAGCATGTTCTCTGATGAATATAACTTCCTCTCTCTTGAATGTGTTTTTTTCGTAGGATACAAGCTGCAGTAGTAAGGATATTGTTAAGATTCAGTGGGCTTCTTTTATAGAAACATATTTTGACTGCACCATACTTTCATGACGATGCAAGTACATTATTTCAGAAGGGACATAAGTTCTTTCAAGGTTGTAAATACGCCTTGGTGACCGGTGTATGCGAGCTAGCACGAAACCTAGGGCACGCGAGGCTTCCTGTGGCTGATTGCCTCCTACCATCTAATATCAACAATTATGAGTGCACCGTGATGGCGAGCCACCTAGTGGCATGGTGGCCACATTGCAAACCTGACTGGCTGATAGAATTCAATCTGCACCACAGAAACGATTAGACACATTACACTAGTTACTATCTAGTATTGATAGAAAGTACATTATCCTGAGGTTTAAACACTCTAGATATTATTATTATTGTATCCTTTAATTCCTAGAGGAACACAGGGCCTCAGCTGCACGTCTCTGTTGGGTTCGGTTCTCTGCTAGAGTCTTCACCTGGCTCCATGTCTGCCCACACGCTTTCATCTCATCTTCACATGACCTCCTCCAAGTCACCCTTGCACTGACGACCAACTCGCCGCTTCCCTTTCGGGTTCCACTCGAGCGATGGCTTGTCTAGTGATTTCACTTGATGACTTGTTTCCTCAGAGTATGGCCACCAATCCATCTCCATTTCTTCCTGCCTTGATGTTTCACAATCGGTTCCTGGTTGGTTCGCTCATTGCCAGAGATCTCTGTTGCTGACCTTTTCTGGCCATCTGATCTTGAGTATTGAGTGAAGACAACTGTTGATGAAGGTCTGTAGTTTGTTTGAGATGCTCTTTATGACGCGCAGTGCAAGTCTCTGATCCGTACGTATAGTAAGTGGCACTGACTTCACATTGGAGTTGAAAATCCGGATCTTATTTTTGATGCTGAGTGTTGTTGACCTCCACACAGACTTGAGAGTAGTGAAAGCTTGTCTTGCTTTTTTTATTCTTGCTTTGATATCCTCGTCAGTTCCGTCCGCCTGTACTTGAAACGGTGCTTCCCCGATAGGTAAAAGAGGTTGTTTCTTTCATTTTCCTCCCATTTATGCTGATTGTTTTCTGTTGTTGTTGCTGTTGGTGGTGTTCCCCGGGAATCTTCATCACCTTTGTCTTCTCTATGTTCACCTGAAGTCCTATCTTTGATGCTTCTTCTGTCAACTTGTTGCTTTTCGCTTGCATATCTTCCAGTTTGTGGGAAATCAGACATATATCATCGTCGAAGTCCAGATCCTTCAAGTTTTTTGTGTGAGTCGATCTTATGCCTGTTTCCTCATTGCCCGCTATCTGTCGCATTATAGATATATGACATTACAATAAACAGATGTATCATTAACGTATCAGTTACAATAGATTGTTTCACAAACTTCATAACTTAACTGTGTCTCTTTCGGACACGTGAATAAATTGCCGGATGGGAAACGTCACTGAAGCGGACACAGTTAATTGATATTTTAAACGATAAAGTTGTATACTACTGATTAACTGAAATAAGTAGTTGCTAACCAAATCGAGGTAATCTATGAGTATTTTTCCTCATTGCCGATTTGGCAGACCCCACTGGTTAAGACTTCTCTCTAAACATCCCGGAAACTTCCCCCTGTAGCCAGTCACCACCGAGTACCAGATCAATTTTCAAGAGTTTGTCTGTAGTTTGGTCAAGGACTAATATATCGGTCAGAGAACCAATGGAAGACCAGGGAGTACTGAACAGCTGTTTCGTCAGCCTAGTCTGGCACTGTCGAGCATTACTCACCCACGGGGTTCGAACCCAGGACGCCCCTACAAACTATTCTCTGGAAAATTAATCCGATGCCCGGCTGTGACAGGCTACTGGACAAAGTTTCATGGATGGAGTCCTAGAGACAGGTCATGACCAGTGTTGTCCACCATGTCGGGCGTGACGACGAAACGTTTGTCCAGTACTCCCTGGTTATTACATTACTTGAAGATTTTAGAAAAGGAGTAAGTTTCTTAGAATAAGACAAGCTTGGAATTCTGTACATTTAGCAGCATAAAGCTTTCATTGAATTTGTTGTGTTCTCTGAGCTGAACTGATTGATTTAATTGCGAAGCTTTCGTCGTCCTTCTAGTGAACATCTTCAGCGCAGATTTTAAATTAAAATGGACAGTGGTTGCCAGGGGATACAATTACATCATTTATGGAGAATTTCAATTAGTCAATTTTATATGATAGAGAAGATTTGTAGCTCAGGGGGATGATTTTTATGTGGATGTGTTCTCTGAGCTAGCTGGATAGTTAATTTGCGAAGCTTTCATCGCCCTACTAGGCGACATCTTCAGCGCATACTTCAATTTGAAGGAAGTGAGCTTTTAGATTTCTGCACGAGTTTATTAATCATCTCTTCTGATGACCTTGGACGTGATTGGTTGTTTGTGTGTGTTTCCACACCTTCTCGGTTACTTGTATTGTCACTCATTGTTTCTTTGACTTGATCTTTGACCCTTTGTGAGTGAGGTTTCTTTCTTATCCGTTGGTAAATTTTGTCTATCTCGATGTATCTATTGATTGATGATTCACTGGAATGCCAAGCTCAGGTCACCAGGAGAGATGACTAATAAACTCGTGGAGAAATCTAAAAGCTCACTTCAAATTGAAGTATGCACTGAAGATGTTGCCTAGTGAGTAGGGCGATGAAAGCTTCGCAAATTAACTATCCAGCTTGCTCAGAGAACACATCCACATCAAAGTCAATTTTATATCAAATCCTGAGCTGAAGATGTTGTCTAGAAGGACGAAGAAAGCTTTGCAGTTAAATCAACTAGCTCAGAGAACACAAACAATTCAATGTCATCCACCTGAACTACAGATCTTCTCCGTTATTTGAAGGCTATCATTGTAGAGAGAAGATCAAGTAAGTAAGATCATAGTAATTAACCTAAAACTTCTCACAACCAGTTCCCTTCATTATTTTGAACAGAGTAAGGAAGGACATGCCTGCAGGATGAAAAAGAGCTCATGCCTTTTACTTCATCGCCTTCTAACAGCTTCTAAAAGCCTAAAAACTAAGATAAGTTATTATAAATGCAAAAAATATCTAAACATACATCAAAAATTATTTCAAATCAAAAGCCATATTTGTGAAACAAGAGATACGAATACAAGATGGTCAGCAATCTAACAATCAGGTATGGAATGTTTGAGAAGGAAGAAAGGATGGGAGTGAAAAAATAAGGCAAATAAAAGGGAAACTATTACGTAAACAAGCTATTACGTAAATTCGAAGATTGATAATGAAATCAGCTCATTGAGTTGAAATCAACAACAAAAATTGTGACGCAACAAAAACAACGAAAACAAAACAGAGACGTCTAGTTTCCCCCTGGGGGTGAGGGGGGTGAGAGATTATTCACATTACCCTTGTGTAAACAGAGATTCGAATGAATTTGTTTGATAGGAATGGCTTCTGTAAATCGAAGTAGGCAGGTTTTATGACTGTATGTATTGATTATTTGTCTATTTTTTACTGAATATCCCGTGCCAGTCAGGAACTTAACAAGTGTACCTGCCAACACCTTCTTACTTATCGTATGAAGGTTGTTTGGAAAGTGTTCAAAACGTCTAGTTGATGCTCTCCTCTCAATCCTTCCTATTTACGTGCTACTGCAAGTGTATATTAATTTTGTAAATGCAGTTGGAGTTAACATGAGTAGGGTACGTATTTAGATTGGACTGTATTAGTGAGCATTTCTTGTTACAAAGAGGGATGAGTCTAGTGGCCGGAAATGCTTTCTTTTGCAATTCCTGTTGATACTTTTCCCCCTTCATACACCAGGTATATAACTATGTTCGTTAAGTCACACAGTGTGTTGTACAGTAATATTAACTGATGACCACGTTTCGAGCACAAATTATTGCCACTCGTAATCATATCAAGACACTACTCACACAACTTTCTTGCTTCATTTATATACATGAGTGAAATGGATGATTAGACATTTGAATAAAAATCAATATGGGATAATGTGCATTCAGAAATAATAATATGAGTGTTATTGATCAAATACAATCAGATGGAAAATAAGACGAGTGTCTTTATAGTCGAAATAAGTTACTTGTTAGAATGTTATAATGTACGTCAACTGAATTGAAATAGAATTTTAAGATTATTTATTATCCTCCTCTGATTTGAGTGACTGGTGGTAATAATATCTTCCATATCTCTGGTATATTTGCATTGAGTCATTTCTGTTGCATGTGTTGGGTGTGTAGACTGGATGAACCAGGCAGGATTCAGTAATCAATCTCTCTCGCGCTCCATCTACCTATATTGCTTTTTAGAATTTTGACTCTGTCCCACCCACCCTATTGTGTGGCTGTGTGTTAATGCATGGATGCCGTGCAACTGCTGAGTTTGTCTCTAAATTACGGATCTTCTTCGGATCAATCATTCTAACCTCAGCTAAGTTGTTATGTTCTGATAATCTCACTACTCCTGATCTACTAATTTGACCTATATGGTTGACTTAACTCACAGTCATTGCAAGATATTTTGTAAATTATATTTTTTTGTTTAATTGGGTCAACCTACGGGGTCCCTTAACTTACAGAGCTTGTCCTACCTGAATGAGTTTGTATGTTTGAATGCCACTCTAATTCCTGCTTTATTGAGAATCTTAAATGGGGAGGGTCTCAGATGTCCCTTCCTTATACGGCAAAACTACTGTAGGTTCCTTTTATTCTTCTTATTCATGTTATCAATATTGGTTTTCCCATTATTTTTTATTTTCCTTTTTATTTTTTTATTTTCCTAATGAATTTTTATAGGATAGTTAGTTATTTCACACCAACGCCTCTTCTATCCGTTTCTTTTCATCATTTAGGTTTTTTTGTACTACTGCTACTGCTCGGTTTGTCAGACACTTAACTACGCCTGCCTTCACAGACAGATAACGCATGAGATGAATTAAAGTCTAAATATCTATTAGAATGTGTTGGCCTTTTATAAACGCTAGTATGCAGTGCAGTTTACCTTCTTCTATTCGTTTTATTTTACAATCTAGCAACATAGCTAATTCTCCTGGTTCATTTTCTGATTGAAATGTAAATTTTATACTCTATCACATTGCTCAAGTTTTATACTTATATCAATAAGTTGGTTACATCTCTGATTGCAGCACTGGGTAACGTGGGTTCGAATCTCAGAAGGGATATGTGTTGTTCCTTCATGATTGCAGATACGCCTTGTTGACTGGTGAGTGCTAAAAAGCACAAAATATATGTTCAAAGCTTCCTACCGATTACATGTAACCGTCTAACCACAATTATGAGTGCACCATAATGGCAAGCCACCTACCATGATGACCAGTTTGCAAACATGACTGACATTTGATGATATTAGATAGTTGAAGGTAATCGGTCACAGGAAGCCTTGCCTGACGTAGGTTTCGTTCTAGTTGACACTCGTCAGCAAGGGGCGTCCCCAGCCTTGAAGAAAGTCATGTCCCTTCTGAGATTCGAATCCGCGTCGCCCAGTGCCGCCTGCAGCCAGAGACGTAACCACTGAGCTAGCCATTCGGGCTCCCAATTGATCTCCTGTAGGACTGTAGTGAGTATTTTCATTGGAAACTAGTAACTAGTGTGACGTGTTTAGTCCTTTCTATGGTGAAAATATCCACTACAGTCCTACAGGAGATCAATCGCGAGTCCGAATAGCTCAGTGATAATGTCTCTAACTGCAGGTGGCAATGGGTGACGCGGATTCGAATCTCAGAACGGACATGAGTTCCTTCAAGTTTGCTGATACGCCTTGCTGACCATTGAGTTCCAACTAGCACGAAGCCTAGGTCAGGCAAGACTTCCTGCCGATAACCTCCAACCACCTAATATCATCAAATCAATGTGCACCGTGATGGCGAGCTACCCAGAATGGTGGTCACATTGCAAACCTGACTGACTGATAGAATTCAGTCTGCACCACAGAAAAGACTAGACACGTCACACTAGTTACTAGTGTCCAATGAAAATGACTGATATTATTCAGTCTTTACCCAACGAAGGACTAGATATAGGAAATTCGTTAAGCTATTTATATTTCTGCATTTCTACTAACTTATACCAGTTGATTAGTCCTCAGAAGTTGATGAAAATCTGTATGAGCTCCTTTGCTTCATCTTACAAACATTTTCGTTATTTGACTTTGTTCCAACTCACCTGTTATTATTCCTGAATTGTTTTTTTATATTTTCTTTGCATTTTATTCTTTACAGGAAACAATATCATCACCACAGAAAAATCCAGTTAACAATGGACCGTATAAAACAAATTATGCAGTGAAACCCATTCATCAACATTTTCAACAGCCACAACAACAACTCCCTTCGAAAGTAACCAATTATCCTCAGCCTCTGTCAAACAGCACACATCAAGTCCTGTTAAGCAAAAGTAATCAAAAACAATCTTTAAATGGAAATCTACCGGATATGTCTAAATTGAATAAAGCGGATCTTTTAAATCTGACTCATTGCAATAATAATAGTAATAATAATTCAGCTAGAAATTATGATCGATATTCTTCACAGATAAGAAAATCAATAAAAACTACTGAACCATTGAACACTAGAATACAGTCAATACAATCAGTAGCAAATAGTTATCCACAATGGATTGTTAGAAATCAGTTTAGCAGTAATAAAGATATCACTAATGAGGTATGTGAAGTAGTTACAATGGTAATTTTGCAATTTTTTATTATGGTTATTGTTCCCTTGGGTTCTGAAAGAAAGACAGGGGCATTTCACTATTATCATTATTATTGTTCCTTTGGGTTCCTAGTGGAACATAGGGTTTCAACTACACGTCTCCACTTGCTTCTGTCTTCGGCTGTACTTTTCATTTGCATCCATGTTAGTTCACACTGTTTCAACTCCTCTTCACACGATCTCCCCCATGTCCCCCTTGGATGTCCCACTCGCCGCTTCCCTGTCGGGTTCCACTCGAGCGATGGCCTGACGCGCGATGTCACCCAGCGGCCTCCTCAGCGAGTGTCCAATCCATCTCCACTTTCTCCTGCATATTTGTTAGGCGATTGGTTCCTGTTTTGTTTGTTCCCATAGCTTCTTGTTTGTGATTCTTTCCGGCCATCTGATCTTCAGTATAGAGCGAAGACAGCTGTTGTTGATAAAGGTCTGCAACAGGTTGTTGGAAATATTCTTTGTGACCCGCTAAGTTTCTGATCCGTATAGAAGAACTGACTGACTTGACGTTTGTATTGAAAATCCGAATTTTGTTGTTGATGCTGAGTTGAGTGACGAAGATTTCCAGATTTCACTACTTTCTGTGAAATATCTTTTAACTGACTTCATGATTCCCCATTAGCTTTCATCTCCACGCCACACGATCTCCTTTATTTCACACTTGACGCCTAACTCGTGGTTTCTTATTCTGGCTTAACTTGATGGCCTGGAATGTCTCTAATCCATTTGTCTATGTTCCTGTCTTTTGATTGGACACTAGTCAGTAACTAGTGTAATGTGTGTATGTTTGTCTAGTCCTCTCTGTGGTGCAGACTGAATTCTATCAGTCAGTCAGGTTTGCAATGTGGTCACCATGTTACGGGTAGCTCACCATCACGGTGCACATTGATTTGATGATACAGTCCTACAGGAGGTCAATCGCGAGCCCGAATAGCTAGCTCATTGATAATTTGTCTGACTACAGGCGGCACTAGGCAACGCGGATTCGAATCTCAGAAGGGATATGACTTCCTTGAAGGTTGCGTATACGCCTTGCTGACGAGTGTCAACTAGAACGAAACCTAGGTCAGGCAAGGCTTCCTGTGGCCGATTACCTCCAACTATCTAATTTCTGTTCCCTTCTGCTTGTTTGTTGGATGATGGTTTTTTGGCTTCCGTCTTTTTCAGTGCACACAGAGTGAAGAGGAAGTGAAGAGCCATCAAGTAGAGGAGTTGCATTAGTAGAAGAAAGGCAAGATAATAGAGATGAAGATGAAGACAAAGGTGAGTGAGGATTATGGAGGTTTCGCGTCCACTTCGGATTGTGAAGGCGATTGTTACTTCCCGGCTGCCCTCAACGTGGAAGTTGGTTGCGTGACCGCAGAGCCCAAGGGACAACTGCTTGAGGCCGGTCACACACGGCCTGTTTTTGTTTGTTCTTTTTCATTTGGTGTGTCTCAGCAGCATATTCCTCACTTCTGCCTTGTGACACGGCAGCAGAAAGCGCGGTCGTTGTTAATCCGGGCCCCGACCGATCCGGCATAATATTTTGTGATTTACTTTGAGTCATAGCATTGGGTTGGGTAACTGCTTTTAGTCTAACCGCTATCCGAACAACCTTTCTGGCATGGTAGGACCTCAAGCGACATAAGTCTCAGCCAGTATGGCTTGTTGGGTCATTGCGGTGTTCAAACCCGACCACCACGTCAAGGTAGCAGCTTTCGGTCGGGGTGATGGATGGTAGGTACTTGGCTGGTTCGTTAACTGCCAGAGTTTATTTCCGACCATCCATCTTATCTCCTTGCAGTAAAGGGGAAAGGGAGCAGCTGTTGATGAAAGTCTGTAGACTGTTGTAAGTGCTTTACGTCACACGCCAAGTCTATGAACCATAGAGAAGCATTGACCTGACATTAGTTTTGATAATCCACATTTTGTTGAGTGAATTTGATAAAGATTTGGAATACTCCGTAGTACTGAAGTAGTTTATAAATTATTTCACGGTCAATGCTACTGAAGGCCTTTTCAAAGTCGACAAAGTTGAGTTAGAAATTTGACTACCATTCTATGCTTTTTCTTCAATGATGATGCGTAACGCTACAATTTGTTCCGCGCATGATTTGCTTCTTCTATTGAATCCAGCTTGTTTCAAATGGAGTTTTTCATCCTGGAAATCTCTCAGTAACTGAAGGATGACGCGACTTAGAATTTTGCTTGATGTGGATAGGAGCATGACTTTGCGTCACACCTGGTAGGGACTGAAAATGCTCTTCTTTGGTCTCCGGACTGATTGGTTGACTGGCTTCTCAGAATCTTTCAACAACCCACGTCATTCCGTCTCTCTGATACGAGCAAAAGAATAATTTGATTTTTTTAAATACTTTTGTTGTGCTTCGAAGTTTCCGTAGTCATTAGACTGATTCTCCAGGCTAGGGTCTCTAGCTCACGTTCAGCCTTTTTTCTTCTTGTCGCCAGCTGACAAACTAGACGAGATTATGAGCAGCGGAATCCATCTTCTTTGAAAGAAATATAAAGCCACAATGTGTGGGTTTATTTTTTCTTTCATTAAGTTTTCAAAAGGCGTTCCATATTAGTTTGTTTATTAGATATATCACACAGTCAGTGAAACAGCATTATTATTTACTGGATGACGAAGTTTCGAACAAAATTTATTATTGTTCATTATCATTTCATCAATTATAATCACACAACTTCGAAACTTGAGTTTTATAGTTTTCTTTGTCTTCTCCTATTTGTCGTCATTGGGGTATTAGAGTTTACCTAGATATCTGGGTGGACAGGTGTTGAATCATTCCTATTACACATATCCAGTCTCACTTGATTCGATAAACAAAGCTTCTGTTATCAATCTCTCCCTCCACCCTGTTATATTTGATTGGATTTTAAAACTGTCATCTTATCCCATCCTATTTTATGATTGTGTGCAATTGCATATAGTGAGTGCTATGGCTGAACTATTCTCTAGATTTCTTATCTTATTCGGGTCAACTAATCTAGATTTTGCTGCTAAGATTTTGTACTCGGCTAGTCTGACTGACTGACCCTGTTCTACTACTTTGACCTATGTATTTGACCTGACAATTATTCCAACAGCAGGGTATTAGATAAACTAAATTGTTTTGTTTTAAAGGCTCCACAGGATTGATCCTTTAACCGACAAAGTTTGTTTTTAATTGAGTTTGTGAGTAGGTTTGAGTGCCGGCCACTTTTATTCCTGCCTTGTTAAGAATTCTGCGTAATTGTTTCACTGTGTGACATATCTAATAAACATACTGATATGAAAGTGATACTTTATCATTTGGAAACATGTTCTGTTTTGCAAACTTGATTAGCGTGGGTTGGAAGCAGCATTTAAACAGCTAAATAGCTACACTGATCGCCGCATTAAACAACTATTCTGGCTTCAACCATGTAGTGAAAAACCTTTACAACCGTAGATTAAAAGTTCTAACAAATTAAGCATCGAATTACAAATTAGAAGAAGAAGGTATGATTACAATGTTACATTAAAATGTAGAAATTTCTTTTTGCTTCACATATATATATATATTAAAAGATTAAGATATTGAATAGTGAGTGGGTTTGGTTGAAATAGTCTTTTCTGTATACAAAACACTGACTTATATCCTTTACATAGTTAAAGCTTAAATATTGTAATACGAGACTTGCTAACGCCCACATTAATGGCTTCAGCTAGGTTATCTCCCAAGTTATAGATAACTTTTTGGGAACAAATTAGTAAGATCTGATGGTTAGTGTTAGCAGTGATGGTCATTCATGATGTTCACTTCTTGATGATAATACAGATAGCCATTGTGCATCTGTAACCAATGAAATCTCTAAGAAGAATTTCCTCTACTGGAAAATTGTGTTTCTCTTACTGGTTCCTTTTATCTGAAGTCATTCAGTAAATGTTATCAAAAAGATAAATATGGGTTAACGAAACCTAAATGACAGAGAAAAAATGTAGTTCTGCTATAAATGGGGTTTAACTTTTACAAAAGATATGTGGATGACACATTGATTATATGTGACGAGAAATGACACCGTGAAAGTGTTCAATGACAGTCATCCTGCCCTCCGATTCAGTGTAGAAAAAGAAACTCATAGAAAAATATCTTACTTTGATGTTTTTAACGAGTTGATCACGGATTGATATCAGTTAGAGAACCATTGAAAACCTCCATGCAACACTGGACAGTTGTATCATCCTAGTTTGGGAATCATCAGCAGTACGCATCCAATGGGGTTCGAACCCAGGACCTTCCGGTTATAAGGCAAGCTTGTGGCCAATGAAGTCCATCCAGTCAAGTGTGAGGATGGAGGATGGATTAGGTCCCAGTGACCGAATGGTATACAAGCTCGCTGGCTTTGAAACCGGAAAGTTCTGGGTTCAAACCTCCTGTAGCGGGTGCATACTGCTGATGACTAAACAGCTGTCCAGTACTCCCTGGCGGTTTCCAGTGGTTCTCTAACTGATATCAATCCGTGATCAACTCGTTAAAACAAAACTAATCCTTACAAACCAACAGTAGGAAATTTCTTAGATGTACTACTGACAAGGAGAGCTGATGGATCTTTGAAAAGATCTATTTATAAGAAATCAAAGTGGACAGGACAACTAATCAATTTTTTACAGTTTTGTCCCCATAGACAAAAAAACAGTAATCCAATCGGTTCTGTCTCAACAAGGGTCCGAAGAATGTCTAGTGAAGACAACGTTGATACTGAACTCAAACTATTAAGAGAAACCTTCATAGAGAACGGGTGTCCACTACGCTTCGTCGAAGCAGATAGAAAATTAGACTGAAGGAATACAGAGACGGACAAGTTAGCTAGAAAAGCGTTGCACGTAAAACTAGAATTAAAGGGTTACACTGCGAGTGAGATATTTAAAAATCGGTTACAAGACTTCATCATGAGCTGACATTGGTTAGAGAACCATTGGACAACACCTGGAAGTACTGGGCATCCGTTTCGTCCTAGTTTTGAACTCTTCATCAGTACGTACCCCCCGCCAGGGTTCGAACCCAGGACCTTCTGGCTACAAGACTAGCAAGCTCGTAGGCCATTAAGTCACCGGGACCCGACCCAATGGCCAGGCCACGAATCTCAACTTTTGCCAGTTCACGACTCAGTGCAACCGTTAGCCAGTGTCACAGGTGACGAGTATTTGTCCTCACACCCGACCTGCTGTACCCTACTGGTCACGACCTCCCACTAGAACCCAGACAACTACCTATCTGAATAGGGCCAGCTATCAGTGAGCATCTCATCGATATTCAACCATTGGTTTGTAGGGATTTGATTGATTGGCTACAGGATTTCATCATGAGCTGACATCGGTCCTGGGTTTGAACCCCGGTGGGTGCGTACTGTTGAAGAGTCCCAAACTAGGAGGAAACAGCTGTCCAGTACTCTAAGGTTTTCCAATGTTCCTCTAACCAATGTCAGGTCATGATGAAATCCTGTAGCCAATCAATCAAATCCCTACAAACCAACACTTGAATTTTTAAAAATCGTTTGACAAGATCATTGAGATAAATGTTCTTTGCTGACACTCCCCCAATCACTTACTCTAACCATCCACTGTTGGACCCTAATTTCAAGGAAATGTTACCTCAATTGTCTAATTCAATGTGTACTTATATGCTCACCTACTCTTGCGGAGCTAGGTTCATAGGAAGTTCGACTTATCCTGCCGCGTTCGAGAGCAGGTCTCATACTAGTTGAGCAAAGTAGAACGTAGAGGTATTGTTTCATCAACACCGCAACATATTGTAGATACTGACCACACACAATCTGCGCTACATCGTTCAAAAAAGTTTGCCGAAAGGGAAGCAAGTGAATTTTCTTTGTTTAGTGGAGGCAATACAATAACATAAAGCTACAATTTTATGTACAAAATCAATTCGTACCATAGTTTTGGCTTTACTATGTAATTCACATAAAAACTTTGTTATTCTTCTTTACTCCATGTTCCATTTTTTTGTTTTATTTTATTCCAATTTAGATTATCATATTCTAACATTTTATTAAGTCTAGTAGTTTTACAACATTTCACTCATGTTATGTTCTCATCATTTTATATTCACAAATTCATATGTAACTACCATCTATTTCGCTCATGTCTACTGAACTTTAGGTGGACACTGGTTTACATGGGTTTTACGAGTTGATCACGGACTGATATCAATTAGAAAATCATTGAAAACCAGGGAGTACTGGATAGCTGTTTCATCCTAGTTTGCGAATCATCGGCAGTACGCACCCACTGGGATCCGAACCCAAGACCTTCCGGTTACAAGGCAATCCAGTGCGTATACCATTCAGCCACTGGGATCCAACTCCTCAATGGCTAGTGCGTGAATTCTAACTTCTACCAATTCGGGATTTAGAGCGACCCCAACCATTGTCGTTGGTGGGACATCCATCCACACACGTGACATCTAATTGGACCTCACTGGTCACGACTTCTCACTAGAACTCCAGGAAACTCCATCCTGTAGCAAGTCACAAGTGAGCATCAGATCAATTTTCTATAGTTTGGTTTGTAAGGGTTAGTTATGTTTTATCAGTCCGTGATCAACTCGTAAAACATAACTAACCCTTACAAACCAAACTATAGAAAATTACATGGGTTTTATTGGTTAGAGGACTAACCACTAGCTGACATCAGTTAGAGAACCATTGGGAAACCACTAGGGAGTACTGGACAGCCAGCTGCCTCGTCCTAGTTTGCGACTCCTCTTCAGTACGTACCACCGGAGTTTGGACCCAAGACCTTCCGGTTATAGGGCGAACACTGGGAACCAAGCCAAAAGTTCATGAATTCCAACTTCTGACAATCCGTGATATCCATTTATTTAGTCCAACCACCAGCCAGTGTCCTGGGAGAGTAACTGTTCTGCCTAATAATGTGAAATATTCCCATATCACATGAATTAATAAAAGTCAATCTGAACGAAGAATATTCTTTTCAATAATTTCTCATTTTCAGGTTTTTACAATTATAAAATAATGTTAACTGTCGTTACAATAATGATAGCCAGTTAGTTATTGGGTGTCAAAATAAATAGTCGTATTTGTATGACAAACGTGCTAGGCTGAAATCGACTACAAAACATTGTAAACTGGGTGACAATGGTGGTGATTAGTCAAAATGGATTTGTAGAGTGTGGGGTAGGAAAATTGACAAGTAAGTCAGATCAAAGTTATAAATGGTGCCAGGTGAGTGAGTGGCTAGTACAAATTGGTATGTATTAAACAGGAGATAGTAAGACTGCAATGAGAGGTTCATAATGAAATAAAGAATGTGTGAAATGAAACAGAAGGAGGAAGGCATATGTTGAGAAAAGAGATAATATCACTAATAATTAATAGGTCCGGATAGTATAAATGCGAAATTCGATAGTATTGAGAGAATTTTTGCATGAAGGGTGTAAATTATAACGAATAATAATGATTGTAATAATAAGCAAAGAGAAAATAACAACCATGAGTGTTAAGGAGAAGCAGCACTCTTGGTGAGGAGAAGAAGAATCACCAATCCGAGTTTGGCCACGGTAGGGACAGCGTCTGAATGTGTCCTTTTTGGATACAAAGTTCCGGTTTAGTTGATCTTCGTTCAGATTCACTTTTAATTCATGATATGGGAATTGTTCTCTTCTGTGACTTGGTGTACCCCACTGGTTACGACTTCTGACTAGAATGCCAGGTGACTTCCTGTATATAGCCAGTCGCTAGTAAGCATCAGACTAATTGTCATTTCATATATATATAATCAATTCATATACACAAATATTATTATAATACTTTAGTATTTCCACTCACTGTTAAACTTTCACACACACACACACAAGAAAACTGATTGTTATTGTGCACTGCAATTCATAAATATATATACGATTGGATAGCTATATAAATGAAATTTTCTAGAGTTTGGTTCCTAAGGATTAGATGCTTGTTAGTGACTTGATACAGGGCAGAGTTTCCTGGAGTTCTAGTGACAAGTCATGGTCAGTGAGGTCCATCCAGCCAAGTGTCAGGATGGATATACCACGGATGAAATTGGTTGGTAGTCGCGCTAAAAATCATGAATTGGTAGAAGTTAGAATTCATGGTATGGCCATTGGATCTGGTCCCATTGACTGAATGGTATACGAGCTTGTTGCCCTTGTAACTGGAAGGTCCTGGGTTCGAACCCTGGCGGTGGGTGCATACTGCCGATTATTTCCAAACTAGGACTGAGGAAACAGCTTCCCAGTACTCCCTGGAGGTTTTCATGTCGGTGGCACAGCGGTAGAATGCTCACCAACCACGCAGGTGGTCCGAGGTTCGATCCCCCGCCGATGCACTTTTGTGTGCGTTGCTGGCACAGTGGTTAGGACTCTTGCTGACCATGCACATGGTCCGATGTTCAATCCCCTGCCGACGCACACCTGATATCTATGGTCGGCCTGCAAAATTTGGGCTGCCGATATCCATGCTGAAAATTCCATACCTGTACCAAAAAAATACGGTGTGGAATCAAGCCGTAATAAAAAAAGTGGTTCTCTAACTGATAACACTCCGTGGTCAAACTCATATAAAGTAAATCAGATTGTCGCAAAGAGAATTTTCCTCGTTAAATTCTTTGTTTTATGTCTCAGTGCGGGGGGTATTAATTTAATATATAATTCTGCTTAGTAAAAAGAAGCTTATAATAACCCAAGTTGAATAGTTACGAATTCATATTCCCTTTATCTACTCTTGTTTCTCTTCTCTCTTATCAGCCTTTTCTTGTATATCAATTGAATCAACCAAAGAAGAAGAGCAGTAGAAACAATCCTCAAGTAGAATTCGACGAATCTAAAAATTCTCCATCAGTTTCATCGCCATCATCATCATCATCGTCAACAGCAGCAGCAGCAGCGGCAGCGGCAGTAGCGGTGAATCAAATGAATTCAACATCTTCAACTTGTAATAATGTAAAGAATCATTCTGTTGGCTGGGAGATCAATTTAGGCTGTGCGTACAATAACAATAATACTAATAGTAATAACGGTAATAACAAATCAGTACCTGTGCATTATATAACTCCGGTCAACTTTAAACAATGTTGGTAAGTGAAACTTTACAGATATGTATCACAGTTTTCACAACAGTCACTTGGCATTTCATAGTATTCATTAATGCACCGCATCTTTTAATAACGCTGTACTGAATGTATGCCTCGTTAGGGAAAACACAAAAACAATATCTTCAGTGTCATACTGCCCTATTTAAGCAGTGACCTGGGGTTCTGGTGGGAAGCCGTGACCAGTGGGTACAACAGGTTGAATATGAGGCAGTATCTCATCGAAGAAGACATTGCTAAATGGTCGCCCTATGTCGTCAATTGGCAGAAGTTAGAATTCATAGGCTGGCCATTGGATTGGGTTCCAGTGGCTTAATGGTCTACGAGCTCGCCTAGTAACCGGAAGGTCCTGCGTTCGAAACCCGGTGGGTGTGAACTGATGAAGAGTCGGAAACGAGGACGAAAAAGCTTTCTTGCAGTACTCTCAGGTGATTTTCCAATGGTTCTCTAACTGATATCAGCTTATGATGAAATCCTCCATGTAATCATGCACAAGTGTTTAAAACAATTAGTCCCTTTTAGAAATAAATTTGGATAGTGTTGTGATTTGAATACAGAGATTATCTGAAAAAAGGGGTGTGGTGTATTTGCGCTATACATTTTAAACAATCTGATCCCTAACACATTGACTATTCAAGTCGTTTTATATATTAAAAAGAAATAAAGGGCAGTTAAATTAAACAAAGTGACAAAAAAGAAAGATTTAAGAATGATTAACACAACATTTGGTAATCCAATCAAATAAGGATTACCAAGGTAGGTTAAGAGTAATAATAAAATGTTTTTGAATACACAGCGGTGGGGGGATAAGTTTACGAATGACTATAGCCTCAGCGTATTTCAGTAAGCGCCCTCAACCAATTTTTATATGACCTTAAGGGTGAGTTAACATCAATCTTATGGTTCATCTCGATTAGATGTTTAGCTACAGATGAAGTTGGTAGTCTGCCGCCTGTGTCTATTAATTTTCCACAATTCATTTGTTTTTCTAACCATTTCGGGATATGCTCTCCCACCCTCACGTGCAAAGCACGATTACTCCTCCCTATGTATGTGTGCACATACACACGAAAATTGTTGAATGGTGTGGGATGTGACATAATCACTTATGCACTTTTGAGGTTTGCAGTGGAGCATATTTTTGACTTCTTCCACAATTACAAGGTGGGCTGCATAGTAGGTTCTACGGATGATCGAATTCAACCTTTGTCTCAAAATCCTACTGTTTATTTCCCTGTTATATGGTAATTTGATGAAAACCTTTTTCTTAGGGGTTGTATAGATTGTAGGTTTAACGATTAATTGACTTCTGCACCCATTGATATCCGTTTTCAACAAGATTATCCATCAATATTTCACTTTCTTTCTCTATGACATCAGCTGTGCAAATACGTTGAATCCTCTTAAACAGACATTTCACCAAGCCTCTCTTGTACTGTAATGGATAGAAACTGTGAAAATTAAGGTATTGCACTATCCAAGTAGGCTTTCTGTAGATTGATCGCCTTATTGAACCATCATCTCTTCGACTCAGAAGTATGTCTAAAAATGCAAGCTGGTTGCGACTTTCTTCTTCGCATGTAAGACTAATATGATTCTGTACATAGTTAAGTCTATCTAATAGACGACTCGTATCTTCATGATCGTCACATATCAAAATGATATCATCTACATATTTCCTATGGCTTGTCATCACTAGACAAGCCCTTGAGTGGAACCCGAAGGGGAAGTGGCGAGTTGGTCGTCCAAGGGTGACTTGGAGGAGGTCATGTGAAGAGGAGATGAAAACGTGTGGGCAGACATGGAGCCAGGTGAAGACTCTAGCAGAGAACAGAACGCAATGTTCCTGTAGGAATTAAAGGATACAATAATAATGATCTCTTATAGAAGGGCAATTTAAAAATTAATTACCGAAAAGCCAAAAATATGCTCCACTGCAAACCTCAAAAGTGCACAAATGATTATGTCACATCCCACACTATTCACCAATTTTCGTGTGTGTGTGTGTGTATGTGGTCACACATATATAAGAAGGAGTAATCGTGCTTTGCATGTGAGGGTGGGAGAGCGAGGATATCCCGAAATGGTTAGAAAAACAAATGAATTGTGGAAAAGCAATAGACACAGGAGGCAGACTACCAACTTCATCCATAGCTAAACATCTAATCGAGATGAACCATAAGATTGATGTTAACTCAGACTTTGAGGTCATCTATAAAGGTAGTGAAGGGTACTTACTGAAATGCGTTGAGGCTATAGCTATTCATAAACTTAAGCCAACCCCCGACCCCAACACTGTGTATTCAAAAACAGTTTATTATTACTCTCAACCTACCTTGGTAATCCTTATTTGATTGGATTACCAAACGTTGCGTTAATCATTTTTTAATCCTTCTTATTGTCACTTATTTTTATTGTTCCCTTGGGTTCCTAGTGGGACATAGGGCTTCAAATGCACGTTTCCACTTGCTTCTGTCTTCTGCCGTACTTTTCACCTGCATCCATGTTAGTCCATACTGTTTCAACTCCCCTTCACACGACCTCCTCCATGTCACCCTTGGACGTCCCACTCGCCGCTTTCCTTTCGGGTTCCACTCGAGCAATGGGCTGACGCGCTATGTCACCCAGCGGCCTCCTCAGCGAGTGTCCAATCCATCTCCACTTTCTCCTGCATATTTGTTGGGCGATTGGTTCTTGTTTTGTTTGTTCCCATAGTTTCTTGTTGGTGATTCTTTCCGGCCACCTGATCTTCAGTATAGAGCCAACGAAGAGAGTTGCTGATAAAGGTCTGTAACAGGCTGTTGGAAATATTCTTTGTGACCCACCGCCAAGTTTCTGATCCGTATAGCAAAAGTGACTTGAAATTTGTATTGAAAATCCGAATTTTGTTGTTGATGCTGAGTGACGAAGATTTCCAGATTGGTTTCAGGTTGATGAATGTGTTTCTCGCCTTCCCGATTCTCGATTTGACATTCTCGTCCGTTCCATGTGCCTGTAGTTGAGACAATGTTCCCTAGATAAGTGAATGAAGTAACCTCTTTCAAATCCCTCCCGTTGATGGTGATTGGCGCTGGATTTTGCTGCTGCTGTTGTTGTTTGTTTATTTTCATAATCTCCGTCCTGTCTATGTTCACCTGGCTTCATGTCTTTGCTGCTTCTTGTCACTTTGTTTAATTTAATTGCCCTTAATTTCTTTTCCATATATTTCGACTTGACAAGTAAATGTGTGAGGGATCAGATTGTTCGAAATGTAGAGCACAAATAGATCACACCCCTTTTTTCCGATAATCTCCGTCTTCTAATCACAACACTATTCAATTACAGTAGTGTATTTCGGTCTATTATATTCTTCAGATAAGGGGTAATATTAAACGGAATGTTAAAAAACATATGAATGAAAAAGAAAACATCTGCGGTATTATAATTGATTTCAAGTTAAATGGCATATCCAAAAGACTTAGAGAACTATTGAAGGCCACAGAATACTCAGTAGCGTTTCGTCCTTGTTTGAAACTCGTCCGTATCACTTACCCGTATCTCTCACTAGAGGTCTATTATTATGTCACCCTTTTTTATATTTTGCAGTGACACTGAGACTGATGTGGGAACCCTGAGCTGGACACAGAGACGCTGATCACGAGTACTGGTTGATTAAGCCAAAAACATTAGACAACATCGAGCTATTCACCAGCCCGATCTACTCGGGAGAGAACACAAAGTATCTGCCACTGTATATTTTATACCATAACGTATAATTCAAAAAGTCAATTAGTATGCAATCGCGATCAGTAAAATAGTGGGCGTTATTTTACGTAGGTCGATTCTGATTGGTTTACTTCTAGACTGACCTTGATTGCCATACAACCAATAGAGGATAATGAGTCGTCCATCCCAGGGATTTCAAGTGATGAGGTGAACCCATTGATGGCTGAGCTACTGAGAAGGAATCCAATGGCCAGTCGATAAGTTTTAACTACTATCGATTCGCACTATATGGTTCCACTGCTAGTCAGTGTTCTCGCACCAAAAACTTAGCGAACACCACTGGTCAAACTGTGTTTCTTATTTTGTTCATTTGCATTCTAAGCAGAACATAGGGCTCCTGTCTTTTGGCCTTGAAAATTACATAAACAATGGTGATTTTACATAAGGTGGGGTTACCAGTTTGACAGACAACCTTCCCTATTTACCGGACTTAATACTGGCGAAGCGGATTTAGTTCGTGTATCTACCGGGGATCAAACCCTGTACCACATGTGTGGTTGGCAAGAATACTACCTGCAAACCACCAATGTACCACTGAAATCTCATGGCCTAACTTGAAAAACGAAAAAAAATTTGAAAGGTTATTTTCGAAATATCTAATTTCAATTCTGTTATGGGGATACATCCTGATGGAATATCTTCGTCACGCCTACTGCACTGACCACATTAACGTGTACCATAGTTTCTTTTTGTAAATATACTGACACTCTTCGTCTTCGTATCACTTCGTTGTGTGTTGCCATTTAAGCAGAGAGGGCTGGGGAGACAGAAAACTGTTTTATACTTCGTTCGAGTAGCCTAGCGATATGCCGTCACCACTGAGTCTGTGTCCAGTTCGGCATCCTTATTCAACAAAACGGTGTTTGCGAAATATAAAAGATTCATTGTTGGAATTGTAATTTCAAACATTCCTACTCACATTTTCAGTAAACAGGCTAGATTTTCAAAAATTTCACCATGTATCCCGCTACAACGTCTATGGAGATGTAATCTCATGTCATTTAGTTGATGGTGACAGGCAATGTAATTCACGAAGCCTGTTTTGTCTTATTTTGGACTAGTGAGATACATTTGACAGTGTAATCAAGCCTTCATTCCTTTCAAACGCTGAAGTGTTATTCGCCAAGCAACTGAGACACGACAGCTACCTCTCTTGTGAAAAAGGTACCAGTTGTCCTCTGTTAAAGTTTCCTGTTCTACTTGATTAATTTATACTGGAC